GCTTCTTCTCCTAGTATTGTATCGACTAACAAGCCTCTAAATATGTATAATTTCTGAAATCTCGTTGATGGGCCCCAACTTGTCATTTATAGAATAATTGACACTCCTTTTTTGCAAAGGATACCATCTAACTTGTGGCCTAATCCTTAAGTCAGAAATTCCTCGTCAACAGACCTGTAGCTATAATAGAAACCATACGGCTCGTTGTTGGTACTGCGAATAGCAACAATTGGTCGATTTATCAATTGGATGTAAAATCTGTGTTTTTGAATGGTCCACTTGAGGAGGAAGTTTATGTAGAACAACCCCCTGGTTTGTGGTGACAAATCAAGAGGGAATGGTCTATAAATTGAAGAAAGCACTTTATGGTTTGAAACAAGCTCCTAGAGCTTGGAACAAAGCATTAATGGTTTCCTAGTTAACATTGGCTTCAAAAAATGTGTTTCCGAATGTGATGTCTATGTGAAGACGAATGTAAGCAAATATGTGATCATACTTTGCTTATATATGGACGACCTATTGATCACGGGCAGCAATGAGTTGAGTATTTCTAAGTTCAAGAGTGAACTTATGGAAGAGTTTGAAATGAGTGACATTTGAACCATGACTTACTTTTTTGGCATAAAGTTTCACAAGTTAAAATTGAGACTGCTTATGCATCAAAGAAAATATGCTTTTGAGATTTTGAAAAGGTGTGATATAGAGCATTGTAATGTTGCCAATACACCCGCTGAAGCAAGGTTGCAGTTGTCCAAAAGTGATGACAAGCAGAATATGGATCCAAGGCAATATAGGAGATTGATTGAATCGTTATGTTACTTGTGCAATACGCAGTCAGATTTGGCATTTAGTGTCGGTATTGCGAGTAGATTCATGGAGAGAACGAAGATGTCTCACTTGGCAGTAGTTAAGAGGATCCTAAGATACATCAAAGGAACTCTTGGCTGCCGAATTCTCTTTCCCGCAACTGATACACGCAAAAAATGTGATTTGCTCAGTTACACGAATTCTAATTGGTGCAAAGATAAGGATGATTGAAAGTCTACAAGTGGTTATATCTTTATGTTTGGAGGAGCACCAATCTCTTGGTGTTCTAAAAAGGAACATGTGGTGGCACCCTCTTCTTTTAAGGCCAAGTATATCAATGCGTCATTGTGTGGGTGTCAGGTTGTATGGCTTATGAATCTGCTGGAAGAGTTGGCAGCAAGGTTAAAGAAGTTGTCTCACTCTTGGTTGATAATATTTCAGCCATTAACCTTGTTAAGAATCCCATTGCACATGGGAGGAGCAAGCATATTAAGATGAGGTTTCATTACTTGAGGGATCTGGTGTGTGAAGGTCAGTTGAGATTAGGATATTGTCGAAGCAAAGAACAAATTGTGGATCTGTTAATGAAAGGTGTAGCAAATATGGTGTTTAAGAAGCTTGTGATGAGCTTGGACATGAAGAACTCGGAGCATTTGAATTAAGGTGGTGTATTGGAAGTCCTTAATAATTCAAATGCATTGTGGAAGCTTCTGGGAGTGTTTCACTAAAAACAACTTATTAAAAAGCACTTATGAAAATCTGGTATTTGGATATTTCGCAAAATCGATTTCCATGCTTGAGGAAATCGATTTCCACAACTAGTTTCAGTTTTTGGATTTCTATTTATCAAAGAGGAAATCATTTTTCAGGTTTTGGAAAATCGATTTTCGTCCCGTGTTCTTATTTTTTGAGTTGTTTGTTTGGACTTGTTTGATTCCATATTGTATTGTTGTATCCTATAATTAGTCTCTTGTAATATTGTTTGAATTAATATCATTTTATGAATATTCCCCTAAATTATTCTCTCTCTTAATTTCTCATAATTTCACTTCACCTTTCCTAATTAACTATTTTTCTCAATTGATTCCCTTCAAGCATTGTGCTTGTTCAACCAAGCCTAAATTTAGTTATTTGATAATAACTTGCTCTACATGCTCCGATAGACAACATTAAATCGACCAACACATAATCAAATCAGATACTACATTAGCATAAAGTTCTTCATATGTAATTTCTCATCAATATTCATTTTACAGATTTCGTATGGTGTTTTTATGTGTAGCCTTTTTTGTCTACGACAAAATATAGAAAATATGGAGATGAGTAAGACACACATAAAAATGAATCTTCAAAAATTGAATATAAATAAAATAAAATAAAATTTTAATTAATAATTTTTAAATAGAAAAATTGCAAATGTTTTTTGTATTAAAAAATTGTAAATTTTCTCTAGACACGCAACTATTCAAATTTCAAATACATTCAAAAGATCAGAGTTGTTAAGGTGAATAAATTCAAATTAAATCTTCATATTTATAATACTTTTTACTTCTTTTTTTCTTCACATTACTTGATGTGAGATTTGGATGAGTATCCACTTTAACACCATGTATCCTCTCTTCATTCAAAGTCTCACATCTCTTCACTTCATAGTCACCTTCATCTTCACAAATAAAAAGATCGTCTTCACAACTAACAATGTTTGTAGAAGGAGCATTTTTCAAATCTTTTGCCTTCTCCTTTATGTTTCGCACATCCTCTATGAATTCTGGACATCTAGATTGCATGTGACCAAATTATTGACAATAATGATATTTGACCGAACTCACATCTCTTGGTTAAAAACTTCTATATTGATCACCATAGTTCTTTCTTTACCCTTATTTGACTGTTAGTACCTGATTTTCTTTAAAAGATTGATCAATACTCATCATTTGTTGACTCTCATTTAATGATCACTCCTTCATCTAATTGTAGTGTTATTCTCCCTGCTAAAATTGATTGTATTAGTGATTCATAAGATTTTGGTAGTGAAGCCAACAAAAATAATACTTGCTTTTCATATTTAATATATCCCCCTGCATTCATGATTCTAGATATTTGCTCATTAAACTTATTAATATGGTCAAATACACTACTTTTATTTTCCATCTTCTGTGAGTATAAATTCATTATCATCATCAATCAATTGGTTAATATGATTGATATAAACTTACTTTCTAATAAATCTTACAATTTCCTTGGAGATACTTCTTTCAACACATTAAGACATTAACACAATAAAATATGAATAAATATTGACGTTAACGCAACAAATTATGATATAATATAATAATAATATGATAAGAGTTGAATAGAAAAATAAAATAATAAAATAATATATATTTATCGTATTTTGTATTAATGCAAATAAAAAAATATAATTATATTTTATTATACTATATTTTTTATACACATTACATAATAATATAATAAAAATATGTATGTCATATTTAAATGAAAAGATTATATATTAGAATTATATTTTTCTGATTTTATAATATTTTATAAATTAACACAAAATACTTTTTTTTAATTACCATAAAATATGAAAAAATGAGTAAGTAAGTAAATTTTTTTATATCATTTAAAAAAAATCCACTTACACTACTATATAAAATATCTCATAAAATAAGAATAATTCTGTTATATACAAGTTAGTAGATTAAGTAAATATATAATATATATTATATGTAAATAATAAAACTACTTCTGCAAAAACAATATATTTTTTTGTTTAAAATTTTTTAATTAATTTTTGTATTTTTGAAATATTTAATAATATTTTTTCACAAATCTTCGTATAATTATATTTTTATTACAATTTATTTTATATATTTTAAAGAATATTTTATTGAAATAAATTGCCCATTTATTTTTTAATTATACATGATAGTAAATTTTTATCTTAATTTATACTATTACTGTCTTATTTTATGATCAAACACTGAATTAAAAATATAAATTTAAAAGTTCGAACATGGAAGAAGCGTTTCACGAACATACATTATGATGGTCGGGTTAAAAAGGAACATTGATGGCTCGATTTCTACTTTCTATCTACTAGAGGCTACGAAGCAAGTTGTATGGTGGTGTGATGCTTGATAAACCACACAATACAACTTGATCAATGACTTTATGATCATCATTACTCCTGTCCCCAAAGGAGCTGTACTTTTGGAAGACCACAGAAAAATAAACATGAAGTTGTAAAAGACATTATTTCAGAAAAAAAAATACAAAACATATTTAACCTAAAACAAAAAGAAAGATCTCTAATATCCCTTGTTGTGGCTGGGTGGCTTTCCTATATAGGTAAGGAATGAGCTTTAGCTTAAATTAATTAAAAGGTGTAAATAAGAGTAAAAAGCAAGCAACGCCAATAATAATGGAGTATGGTCCACGCCCCATACTACATGGACGTGCCAAGTTCTCATACTTAACTTGAGAAGGTTAGAAATACAATTTTTAATATACTTTTATCTTTTTTACTATTTAATGTTATGTACTTGCTCTACTTAGTATTTATTTATATAAAATGACTAATTGTGAAATAAGATGGATGTGTGAATCACGCATGGACATCAAGAGTAAAATAATCAAGGCGAGAAGGGCATTTTAGAACAGTGACAAATTAGGTTTGGCATTTTTAATGTTGGTGTTCCACACGAGGATGTGTGATTCCATGTGTGCCAACTGTGGAAGTGGTTGGTTTTTCTACAGGATATAAATCTTGTGGAAGCTTAGTACTGCCCCACAGCAATCTCAATTCTCAAAGTACGAATCTCTTTGGATTCGCCAACGAATGGCGATTATTACATTAAACGTGTGTATCCTGAATTATTTTGATTTTTTAACAGATTATGGTATGATGGTTTAAGATAATGAAAGCTGTATTAATTTACAGCCAGATAAATCCCAAGGGAAACATTTTATATTCAACTTTCCTACCACACACAATTTCAAATTTTGATCCAACACAGAGCATACAGACAGGTTTGACAACTTGCAAATCACTGCCACATTCATTTTTGATGATCAATAATTTTATATATTTGCATTAATGGATAATAGTCTTGATATAAGACTTTCATAATTATCAGAATTTAAATTTTCTACACAACAAGGGCCATGTGACATTTTTGGAAAAACAATTAATATCGTAAATATAAGGCCTTGTCATCTATCCATGCAGGCTTCTTTGCATTGTAATAGAAAAATGCAATCATCTGAACCAGCTCATCTGCAGTTCTGAGTTCTGCAAAGGTATAAGCAACAGTACATTATTATGAGTAGAACCTAGACGATGAGAGTGTGCATGCCTTAATGTCAAAGCCAAAGCCGAACAAAAACTATGTTACTGAATGAACAACAATTTTACCTTTTTCCCGGTACACCATCTTATTGCCCCGTAAAAATAAAATTTGTGGACATTCTCGAACTTTGAGGGCATAAGCCAAGTCTCTCTCGATGTTAATGTCTATCTTAACCGCCTACAAATAGGGAAATCAAAGAATATATGATACTGAAAAACATTAGAAACTCTAGGTTCTAAATCTAACTAGTGAGTGATCGGAATGTAAAGTTTGTAGTGATGAGAAGCAAATGTTTTTTTTTTCCTTTCATTTCAGGTACGTGTAATAGATGAAAAATGCAGTTTCAAAAGAAATTGAGCATACCCGGGGAGGTAACCGATCTTTAGCACTCCAGTACACCTTTATTGCTTTCTCTAGCTCTTTCAAATTTTTCCAGTTATCACTTGCCCTGTTGAATAACAAAATCAAACACCAAAGGCTGCATTTAGCTATAAGTTGTTGGGAGTCTAGGAGCTCTAAGATCAAGAATGAGCTAACGAGAACACCGCATAAGACATTGACTATAAGAGTCACCTCTTTTATATATTTTTCATTTAGCCTATTCCTAACCAATTTAGACTAACCACACCCATTTGAATTCCATCATATGTAACTATGACTTATTTAAAATTCCTATCAACATAACATTATCATTATAGTAATATAAATGTAATACATAAATTTCTCATCCATTCCAACCAAGTACTTGGGTTCTAGTGGGAAATGAGCTTCCACTAAGGACGAATCGTCCAGGTACTACTCAAGTTTGATTTTTGATGGAAACAAAACTTGGCCAGTGAATTGTCACTCTGAACCACGAAATCAGATTAGTCGGTTCACTATATGGATCGGAACTGATTGACTAAACCAAAAAAAAAAAAAAACTCATGCATTCCTAGACTCAACCAAGTTCTTATTTTCTTTACAATACCTTTGAATAAATGACCATTATCTTTTATGAACAACACACATTTTAAAAGACAATAAGTAAATCATCCTTAGTAGTTAGGACAAAATATTTGGAAAAAAACAATTTATTTACACAAACAGACCTATTTTCATGGAAGCACATCAAGATTTAAGACATATAAACTGATTAATCTGACTCGAGTTGCATGGTAGTATCACTTAAAGCTTTGAACACAAGACATGAAGTGCATGACTAAAATGCACGTTTTGTTGGATAGTGATCAGAGAAATGTATATCTTAAATATGAAAAATTGTCATCAATGAAACACGGACATAATACGGATATCAAACACGATACGTATCCAATACGGAGATACGTATCCAATACGGAGATACGTCAGTCATTGAAAAATCTAGGATACGATACGGTTATATAAAGAATTAAAATTGAACATTTGTTAAATCATTCTCGTAACAAAAACCAATTGAGTTTGCAAAATTTGATAGTAATTGGTAAAGGAATTACCAGAAAAATAAAAGATAGTTAAAAGTTGAGAGAAAAGTAATTAAAGGAAAAGTTTGATTCATGTAATAGAAAAATGAAAGTGATGGGGTAATTAAGTTGAGAAAAGAAAAATTAGGACGAGGAAGATTGATTAATGTTCTAGACGCATTGCCAACTTATCGCGACCATATTGGAGACATATTGCCAACGTATCCCGACATGGAATTTTTTATTTTTTATTTTTTAAATGAATAATTCGGATACTCCTACGAAACATATCGGCGGCGTATTGGAGCGTACCGGTACGTATCGGATACGATATGGCATAAATTTTATAGTATCCCTGCTTCATTGATTGCCATAAATTCTATCATTCACTACTCTGTCAAATCCATATCAGAATAGAAATTAGTAGTACCTGTTATAGCGTTCAAAGACAAGGACAATTAAAGGGCTGGGATGAAAAGCAAAACTCTCCCATTCCAAACAATTGATCTCCTGCACCCAATTATCATCAGTTTCCCCTTCCCAATCAATTTCAACACCATCATCTCCCACAACATTCATGATTGGATGCTTCTCAAAATACTCTGAAGCTCTAACTCCCCACCCAACATCCGTATCCAATGGCCAACTCTCACTTTCTTCCTCAATCACCATCTCCTTTTCACCACCATCTCCCTCTTCATCTTCTTCCTCTTCATCACTATCATCATCATCGCGTTTCGCTTTAGCATCATCACCAACACTGTCCTTCATTATATCGTTATGATTCTTCAAAGCATCCCCATTTTGCTGCCGAATTGCAGCAAAAGTATTCTCCAATCTATCGCGTACAAAATCTTCAATTTTCATAGCCTCACTTTTACGACCGCGCCTTGGCTTCCTTGGAATCGTTGTTGGGAAGATATCCTCCGAATTTCCACCATCCTTATCTTCACGTTTGGAACTTTTTCCCTTGTTTTTTGCTCTAACTTTGGCGCTAGGATTATATTCGGGTTCAGGTTTTGAACTAGAGTTTCTTGAAACGGAGCATGATATTGAAATAGGTTTTACAATGTGATGGGTAGATATAGTGGAACAAGATAAGAAACACGTATCAAATTTTGTTGTACGGAAAGTTGAGAAGGTTCCAGGAACAATAGAAGTTTGGAGAATTATCATTTTGGTGGCTCAGTTTATCAAACACGAAAAAACAACGTTGGTTATGGTTGGGTTATTTTAACAAACAGGTGGTGTTCAAATACGCGGGAACACAGATTCTCTCTAAACTGAATAGATCAATTAAACACTTCTTTAATTTAGGTATGAAAGTGAAAAACTAGTTGAAACAGAAGTTGCTGACGAGGGAATGAAGCAATATATACCACGTATGGATTGTAGCTGTTAACTGTTTGAATGGAGTAGTTGCCTTTTACCTCCTTCCTCCGCCTCCCTCGCCACTTTCTGTTGATAACCATGCTACTTAGCTTTCTATGGCTGTCAATTTGGGCCAACTAGATCCTTTATTGGGTCTTTTATTTCAATAGTCACTAGTTTGAAGAGGAATTAAGTTCTCACGCCAAGTTATACATGGCACCTCCCGTACTTTCATAATGATAAAAATATATTTGTTATTATTTACTCTAAAAAATAGAAAATCCGTAAAAAAAAAATCACTATAGACATTCAGTAAAATTTGAAATTTTTGGTATCTGCGTTCTAGTTCTCATTGAAAATTGTATGCAAATTACGAAATTTTCGATGACGATTTATCGATAAATTTGAAATTTTCAGTGTTTTACAGAAAAACCAAACACAATTATCGTAAATTTACTAGATTTCCGATAAAGAACAAAATCTTTCGGAAATTTTGATATTTTTGGTATACGTAAATTTTGGTTTTGCTTGGAATTTCCGGTATACCAGAAAAATGCTTTCCTTGTGTGGTCAGAACCGACAACCTCTTCTACAGATTCTTGTGTTTATTTTACGAAGTTTTTCACCAATGATGTTGTATGTTTTCTATGTAACGTATGCAATTTTTAAAGGTTTTTCCATTTCTATGATATTCATAATTTACTCTTTATATGTTGTAATTGACAGATTTTCACCTCTCAATCTGAAATTTTAGCATGTGCATAACCTACTGGTAAACGACATGGTATTAGTGTTGTCATTGCTCGTTCTGATTCCGTTAATGGAAGGCCAGGGAGGAAAGATAAATTGATTATAGATTGTGAGAGAGGATGAAATTACAAAAGGAAGAATGCATTCGAAAGCAATAATTCCTCAAAAGACATTTATAGTATAAAAGTTAAAATGTCCTTTTAGGCTGAGATCTGTTCCAAGTGGTATTAGTTGGAAGAAGATTGTTAGGTGCGAGATGCACAATCACAAACTATCTGAAGATTTGGAAGGCCATGACTGTTTACCGTGAAATTTGGTAAACAACCGCTGGTCTTCCAAATCAAAGAAAAGATTGGTGGCTTGCAGGATCCACCAGATTGATCCTAAGTATACGTGTTCTTATTCAAACTTATGTTCTTGAAAACAAAGAATACTTTCGATAGCATTCTTAATCTTTTAAGCAAAAACTGATTTCAATTGTTACTTCAAATACAGTAATGTAATACTTTAAAGAAAAGACTGATATGTAAAATATTTTCGACTTAAACTTAAAAGGAATGTATAAAAATTCAATTGAAGTTGAATGACAATAAACATAAAATTGGTGCATCATACGTGCATTCTCACAACTCGTTTCTCGAATGCTGGTACTTTGAGTAATTTAGAGTAATTTGTACAAATATGTGAATACACTGAATCCTAACGCTAAGATCCCTATTTATACTAATTCGACCAAAATTGTCTCTTTATAAGATGTTGCCATGTTCGACATCTACATGCACCTTCAAATCCTATACTTCTACGTGTCTCTTTGGATAAGATAAAACTTTCAAATTTGAAAAATGGTTTGCCTTCGAAGCGCCAAACAACACAAACGTGACGGTAGAAATATCCTTTCTAATGATACTTCGAATAACTTAAGTTTCAAGGTTCGCATACGAACCTTTCGCCAACACTTAACAAAATGAAGCTCTTACTAGCTTTTCATCTATCGAAATCTTCATAAAATCTCCTTCATGCTTCCTTTTCGAACTACATTTCTTCTAAAATGTATTATTTCAGCTTAAAAACTCATGCAGTCGAAATTCTCAGTCAACAAATTTCCCCCAATAAATGTGTATTTCGACATACTTGGAGAAACATACATTTTTTGCAAAACAGTCATATTTTGACGAAAAACAATCTTCATGATGAACATTAACCGATATGACGTCAAAAATAATCATGATTTTTTTCTCTCAAAAATTTCTAATCAAGACGTGCGTGCAGCAGTTCCATCATTGCTACCAAAGTAGGTTTCCTATATGGCTTTTAAATAAGCAACCTTCCTCATTAACTTATAAAAAACCACCACGTGTCCCACTAACTCAAACATTTAAAATATAAACTAAATAATTTCCATATATAAATACCTTCTTCTTCCTCAAACACACTTTTCCCATCTTCTTGACTTTTGGTTTTCAAAAACTCGCACTATTTTCAGTCTTTTTTTCTCAAAAAAACCTCAAATCGTCCAAAATCTGAACTTTCAACCATGGCACCATCCAAACAAGGTAGCAAATATGACAAAAATGTGAAGAACAAGGAAGTGAAGAACACCAATGATGCTGTATTCCAACTGATTTATCATATTACAAAACCATTTCTCATTGGAAATCAAGAACTGGCTCCAACACCACATGTTTCTACTAGACAACAAACTATTTACGCTTCTCAGGTGATAATCCCTTTCACCCTTGCTGATAAAACCCTAGGATATATGGATCTTATGTTATCCTCTAAATGTTTAGAACAGATTAAAGAAATATTCCCCGTTTATCATGATACAAAACCCATTGTTAACAAAGTTGGACCTCCTAAGAAGAAAGATAACAATCCTGATAAACATTTAGCAGAATCGTGTGTAGAGAAAATCCAAATAGAACATCTTTGTGTTCATGTAACTGAAGACAAATCCTTTTAATTCGACTATGTAACTACGAACTTTATACCTTTTAGGCCTTTCCCTATAGCAGATAAACAATATCTTTCTTGGCTAGCTAAAGTCGAAAAGAAAAAATCCCAAGCCTATAAAGAGTTAGGCATTTTCGACTTAATTCAAATGTCAAAAATAAGTTTTAGCTATTGTCAACCTACGTTGATGTCCTCATTATACTTCTGGGATAGTACTTACAATACTTTCCATCTCCCTTGAGGAATGATAACTCCCACTCTCTTTGACGTGGTTGTTATCACTGGACTCCTACCAACTAGAGAGACCTTCGACCCTTATCAACAAGAAGATAACACCATCAACTTTGTCTTCGAAAACGCCGCCTTCACCAAATACATTAATCTTTACCATGCTCAGGGAGATAAAGTGTCTGATGTTAAGCATATAGCTTTCATTTCTCTCAAGCTACCTAGGTGCATCTTTTTCTGTAAATATTTACAAGTTGAAAAAAGATTCCTTACCTTAGCAAACCAATTTCACGCTGGTAAAAAAGTGTGCCTCAGTGAGTTAATTCTCATTGGGTTATATGAAAGCCTTAGATCTGCCACTTCCAAAATGAAAGGATGCAAGGCAAGCACAAATTTACTGCTATCTAGCCCATATTGGCTTCTCCAATTGTGGCTTAATACAACATTCGAGCCATCTCTCAGTACTTCTGGCACATTGGATAACAAAGATCCTAAAATTCAGACTCGAACTGTCGAAGGAACAAGACTGCTTCGACTGACTCTGGATGATGTTGCAAATAAATTTAGGGAGTGCTTCACTAAGTACTTCATGATGTTCTCTAAACGTCATATCTTTATTCCTTTGATGGCTCCTTTTTACAATAGGACTCGTGGCCTTTAATGATTCACCAAATCTCTCTGACATTTCACTTGAAGATACATATATTATCGACATCTGAAGAGCTTTTTTACTCCGTATGCTGATTGTTTCGAGGATCATGCTTGTGAAAAGCAACATTTGCATGCTTTCCTATCAACCAAATTTCGTATAATTTGTGCTTTGCCAACTAATTCCTGAGCCTATCTTTGGAAGAAAACGTGAACTTTGCACAGCAGGAATGAAGTTCTTTTTTCCAGACTTGGAAAAACATATGGCTTATCATGTCAGCTTTGCAGAATTTAACCTCATTCCTTTTCAACCATCTTTATACTGCTCGAAGGATTTTGATATTTAGTGGAAAGAAGTTTATTCAAAGAATATGTTCGACACCATCTTTCTCAGCCAACAGTTGATGAAAGCTTTTGCATCTATGTAGGATCTGATCCAGAAAGGTAAGCACACGCATATCAAGGAAATCCAGGCGTTCCAAAAGTACTTTGAAACTGTCTATGATCAACCTAACCTTAGTCGAACCACTTTCAATGCAACACAATTTTCAAAAGAGAAATTTACTAAAAAACTTCCTCATTTAAACATCCCCACTTGTGTTAAACCCGAGGACAAATATGACTAAGCTTTCAAACTTCAACCACCAAAATTTCCAAAACTGCCTAGCACTGATTTTGGTCGGGCTTTTTATCCTCTTTATCCAAATTGGTTCGTTTGTGGGGATTGCCTTAACTTTTTAAAACAAGAGTCTCAAAAACCCGTTAAACGAGTGGTTTCGACTAAGCATACCCTGAAAAATTTCAAAGGCTTTCTTCACTATGACTTGTCAGCTATCTCCATTCTTTCTCATACAGATGAATATGTGGAACCAAAGGATTTCCCTGATCCTTTTGATTACCTTTGTTATTTATTTTGTACCTGGTACTAACGAATGTTATCATGTACATTGTCCTTAGTTTTCGAAAGGAAAACCAAAAAAAAGGAACAACCTATTTCGAAGACAGGTTCAACTGAAGCTTCCAAACCACCCAACACTTTAACAAAAATTGCTACCCCAGACACCAAAAAATTGAAAGCATCAAAGGTATCGTTCAAAATTTCGTCTGCTGTTTGTATTACATCACTTTTCTAACAACAATACCCTTTCAGGATAGTCAATTACCTCCAAAATCTTCACACAAAAGAAAGTCTACCCATGATATTCCAGTAGAAGTCGAAGATGATG